AAAAAATATATTTTAAAGAATGTTGGTAACCAAACCAAGTTTTTGTGACCAATAACTTGGAGTGACATAGGTTGAGTAAATGATGATGTCCTTTACCACTCAAATTTTTATAGGAAAAGTACAAATCTATTTATTATTTCAATAAATAGATTTATTACATCAATGCTCTTTGTTCTACTCTTCCAGCAAAAACACAAACTGAGGATCTATATTTCTAACACCTACACGCCTGGCAAGCCAGAAGGGGAGGAGGCTGAAAAAGTGGCATCCTGGGAACTTCGAGTGGAAGGCAAACTCCTGGAGGATGTACGTAATGAGTTTGATTATGTGTTTGCTTATTTGCATGCGTGTGAAACAAGGTGAGGGTCACAAGTAAAGAACTCTATTTACCGTGTTTTACGGCTAGTAACATCTTTAGATAAAGCTGATTGTGTCGCCCCTATGCTTAATGCTTTTTATTTGGCTTGAGTCTTGAGTCTCTTGGTCTGTTGGCAAGCTTAACTGCACTGGCTCATGTCCTCCGCTCACTTCTTCAAACCAGATGTGCTCTAAGATATTCCATGTTCCCAAACTCTGAGGAAAAGGAATTGAAACTTTGGCCCATTTTGTGAAATTAGTCCAAAAAATGTCTAAGCGTATATTTGCCAGCTGAAGACCTCTGGCTGTGCTGCTGCCACATGAAAAGAGGAAACGATTCTTTCTTTTTCTTTACTTTCTTCTGCCTCAGTGGTCATAAGTTGAGTGGTACTGCAGAGGGAGGGACAGGCAAGGCATTGCACAAGCACATACTGGTGCAATAGCTGTTTGTGACTAAGTGTGTGCTGCTTCTAAAATAACTCCCCCCAGTGCGGTCAGCTCCTAACACTGCAGTATCAATCAGTGGCATGAACGCATTGAAAAAAGATCTTGTGTTCTCTCTCCCCTTTTCCCTACTTATTTATCTTTATCTTTGTCTTTATCCTTAGCCTGGGAAACAGAAACGAAAGTTTTCATCCTTCTTTAAAAGCCTGGTTATTGAACTGGACAAAGAACTTTATGGCCCAGACAACCACTTGGTGGAGGTATGATATTATAGAGTTATATGCTCATATTTTATATATTACAAGTCTGAGTTAATGTCCCACAATATGAGTAAATCTACTTAAATCCTCATGATCATGATGACCTCATCAAACACAACATGAAAATTCTGGCATCATTTACTCACCGTCATGTACTGTCTTACAGTAAATTCAGCCATTACATCTGTAGTCATATATTTTTCTGTATGTCTTAGTGGCACAGAATGCCTACAACTCAGGAGACAGACGGATTTCAGGTGAAGAGACCAGGGGATGTGAATGTGAAATGTACTCTCCTTCTCATGCTAGACCACCAGGTATATCATACACACACACATATAAAGGCTATTCATCAGGCTTGGGGCTAAAGATGCCATCAAAATGAACATAAATGCAACCCAAATTCAAGATAATGGCAAAAAGGCAAAAAATGGCCCTGCATAGTTATATTACATTTATTGTGACGGTCGCACTTGAAGTGAAATGTGAAATTTAATGAAAATTTTTGATTACGGTATTACATTTAGATCTGCTCAGATTGCATTCAAGATTTCTTTTTACATGTTGTTTTTTTTTAAGCATAATTTTGA